ATAGGACCAACATTGCTGAAGTTTTTGTAATTTTTATTAGCGAACCTAAAACTGGAGTAATTTTTTTTTGATTCGTTTAATGCATTTTTTTTTTCAAAATTCACACCCGTGCTGTAGGATTACCGAACGTGCTAAAATTTCCGAAAAAAGTGTTAATTAAACTTACGGTGTCACCGCCTCTTTGTAGATACATCGCAGATCTAACGCGGAGTTTCTTAATGAGCGCGAACGACATAAATTTCCAATCAAGAATCGGCATCGATTACAAGATTCTCAGACTCCCGGTCTCATTACCTTCTAATCTAAAAGTTTCTTGAGTATTCGAGGAAAGGGAAGGAGGTGTTCATATTTTAAAATACTTTTTGTGTTCGGCTGCGATTAGTGATCGGTAGTAGAATTTCCAGCATTTTTCGTTTTGTTCGTTTTTCGGTCTTGAGAAAGCTGCGGGTTTTTCTTTTTTCGGGATGAACTTCCGTAAGGACAAAAGGAAAATCGTTGCGGTTGAGATCCGTGGTGGCGCATTAATTCATTTGCTGAATACGTGCGAATGAAATATTTTTGCGTTACGTTTTACGGTTATCTGTACTTTTGAATGTCGGTTGAATTAAATTTTCCTTTGGCCAGATATCAGCTATTAAAAATCAATTAAACAATCAATATTTAAATCTACTGGTCCAAATTTTGATAATATTTATATAAATAAAAATTTTCCATGGTTTAACCGGTCATTGTTTTTATTTTCACCCGTTTAGCACAGCACTACATATGTTTCAGAAATTAATTTTTTTCCATCTTTAAGTGCAGTCAAAATTAAAAAAATAAAAAAAAAAACACAAGGGGACGATCACAAAGTTTAAAAATTAAAAAAAGAAACAAAACTCTATCTTTCTCTTTCAGCGTGTGAAGGTGTATTCGAAATAATATTGATTTGGTTTAACACGATAACGATAAAGTAGGGAATCAAAAAGATGTGTTTTCACAAAGTTAAAAAAAACCAGTGGAATATTTAAGGATTAGAAGCTTACAATTATTTAATAATATTAAAATAAATGTTTGACAAATCTGTTATGTCTGTTTTATTATTTACAGAGTTATTATTTTTTTAATAGGTATCATCTTGTAACCTACCTCACCCAGGTACCTTAATAATTTATTAATTCCTATTATTAAATATAATATTGCATTCTTATTAAATTCAAAATCATTCATTTAACGAAAAATCTCCCAGATAATTAAATCTTATTTACGATACCTAATAAATAATAGCTATAACCACGTCCGTAATATATCCACGTGTCTCCGAGAACCAGCCCAAAGAAAACATATTTCTTTTCACGAAGTAATTATAATTAAAACACTTAAGTCGCTTATTTTGCTAGTTTCGATGTTAAGACCGATTTCGACAATATTTCGATACACAAAGCTTTCAAGGCAAGTAATAAATAAGCCACCCCCTGCACCCACCGTATTTCTATGAGAACTAAAGACATAGAGACGTCACAAAACTCATTAAAATTTTATTATAAAAAGCCAGACCCAAATGAGCTCGAGATTCATTCATTTTTAATTATTTGAGGTGCAAGCATTCATTTATTATTCGTATCTAGTTATATTTCAAGTTCAGTAGTCAATGCCTTTCCTAAAACGCTCTTCCTAAACGACATCTATCCTACAATACCTTCTATCCCGAAAGTGTCAACATCTCGACGCCCAACGTCCTGCCGCCCTACTCCCTACATCTCGAACGCTGTCACATTCCTCACCATCTAAGTATTTCCTACCGTACACTCATTTCGACGCTCAACATCCCACGCCTTATTTCCGATGCTTACCGTCCATAAATATTTCCTTCATAATATCACGTCCCGCACCACCTACATAATTCTACCGTATATCTGTCCCAATGCAGTACCATATTAAATACCTTCCTTTCCACCACGACGCTAGGCGTCTCGACGCTAAGCGCCTCGACGCTCAACGTTAAGACGTACCTAAATCGACGCCGTCACAACGCTAGATGAAATTAGCACATAATCTAATGTCTGTATTTTCAATGGTGAGTCAAAAGATTTGTGTAACTTTTTTGAGATACCACCGGGGTTTCGTTTAAGGGCGAGCTTAACATTTACTGTAAAATATTATCAATAAACCACATGGCCTTCAGGTCATACACCCCAAACATCTGTTTTCGATGGGTGAAATTTTGATTATTTCAATAGAAATTCTAATAATCAATATAAAAAAATATACAGGGTTGTATTAAGTTAATTCAATAGAAATTATAAAAATCAATATTTTAGAAATATATAGGGATGTGCTATCTTGGATAAATTGTACAAACCAAGATGGTGAAATTTAATAGTAAGTTAACCAACTGGTGAATACACTGTTCGTTAGCTCAAGTGGTTCTACTAGGTTTGAAACAAAGTATATGTGAAATCACCTCTATGCTCATCGTAATATTTACCTAAGAGGGTGCAACCTGTGTATATCTAGAAGAGTTCTGTGGCAGTGTTATTTATGCAAGTTGAAGTAAAATGTGTATGCAACATATTTTACCGTAAAATAATTGTAATACCCAACTCAAAATGTTTGAAATAACTGATCCTAGGTTAATTTAAAGTACAAACCATATAAAGACATTTCAAATTTCAACACTGTCCGTTTTTCGTTCAACCTCATCCCCACTTTTTACACAAAGCATAGAAATGTATGATTCCTAATCGAATGAAACTGTTTGATGACGGTGAATACTGCCATTGTTTCTGAGGAGGCTGCTTTATGTGTTAAATCTGATCTTATACTTATAAGATGCTAGCCCGGCTAACCGCAATGCGAAAAATACTACTGAAAATGCAAACTTCGAAAAACTTTGGAAGCATTATAGGCAAATAAATGTACAAAGACCAACTTGAAAGCTGAACCTCTGTAAGCTAGGCTTGGAGGGAACAGGAATAAATGCATCAAAACAAATGCAATTTAATAAAAGTATTACCAGATATCTGCCATAGAATATATGCATCGTAGGCACTTTATATATCCGTCTTTAAACACAAATGTGAAAAATTTGATAGAAAAAGCAGATATCGATGGTTTTTCATTTTGGAAAGAATCTTGTAGAGATATGGAAGGCAGACAAAGCATTTGAAAAAACTGGCATACATTTAAAGGTACCAACTAAAAGCAAACAACAATTTCAATCAGTGTTTAAACTTCAGGCGCCTACTTTTAAATAGCGTATATTTTTTGCTATATTTATAACTACATATATTTTTTTTCTGTCCTAAAGACATTCACATTGTTTACTAAAAAACTATATATTCTCTTTCTAGCACAAATTTATAACTTTATTTAATTTTATTTACTTTAAGTAAGGTTGTTTACTGTTGCTGTGTTTATACTAAAGCTTGAAGATACTTTTTTATGTGCATTGAAGAGACTAGAGTATAAGAAATGGTATAAGCAGGAGTTTTGTTTTCTATTGTTTTATTTATTTAGGTTGGGACAAGGACACATTCACATCCATCTTGTGCCCTCATTTTTATTTGAATACTTTGAATCTTGGTGCAAAATGGATCACACGCTTCTCCACTCAGAGCGAAACCGGAGCCAAGGCTGTTCATCAGAGAGACGAGACTTTTTGCGTTACCTGTAGATCTTTGTAATAATTGCCTTTTACAGTGAATTTAGTGGCAAAAATTGAATTGGGATAATGTAAATTTAAAATATTAACTAAAATTTATCCCCTTATCTTTTTTTAATTTAATCCATTTCCTGGTCAGTGGAGATATATTTACGTAAAAATTAAATAAAATCAAATAATTGGAAACATAAATATCCAAACTGTCCAATTTCGTAGTTATTCAACAAGTTCTTTGTCAATGTTATCAATTTTATTACTAAAATGGATTCAAACTTTAATAAAATATGTGTATTGACATTTTTTATTCAATATTAAACGATATTTGATGCATTTGTTGTGTCTGCTTTCAATTTGAATGATTTATTGAGGTTCGATGCACAAACTAGGGTGGATTATACAGGGTGGACCACCGGTAAAAAATGGGTCTGTAGAGCTAAAACTAATTGTTTCTTTTATCTGTTCTCACGGAGATATGTGCGGTTGGTCCAACTTATATCTTTAGAATATTTTATTATAAATAAAAAATAAATATAGTTTTAATGCCAAATAGTATACATACTATTTATTCCACTTATACAGGGTATTTTTAAAGTAATCTAAAATATTAATGAGAGCGATTTGTCTTCAATTTTGGGACGAAAAGTTCGTATAAACATGTGTGATCGGTTTTGTCATTTATGAGATACAGGGTGTTGACTTTTTTATTACTTTATTAGAAGCAAGAAATTGTGATAAACATAAAAGTATTGTTACATTTGAGTTTTGTTATTTATAAAAAAGTAATAAATTTATTGCAATTTCAGTAACATTATGTTCGATTTGGCGTTCATTGTTTAAATGAAATTCAATAAAATTTGGAAAATTTTAACTGTTCATATTTATTAACTTTTTAAGCGTTTTCCACATTAGTCGAGACTTATTTTTATATCTATAAATTTTATTAAAATAATATTGTTACTTTTTTATTTTTAATAAATTTAAAACTCCATTCCTCAATTTTTTAAAAGCTTTTCATTTTTATCAGCACTAGCAGTGGTCTGAAATTCTTTATACCTTTTATCCCAATTTATTTTATAATGAATGTTATTAAATCATGGAACATTACTCTTATACTGACAAACTTGTATAGACGCTACACTATTTATTGCCGTTTATCACCCTGTGGATATATACCAAAAAAGAGTTGAGATTTAAAAAAATCATATAGGTAACTTCAAACTAGATTAAAAACCAATATTTTATCATAAAATTCGACATATTCTACGCCCATGCTTTTCCAACGCTATCAAAAGGTTATCTGTCAACTCCAATAGTTTAAAACATATTTCAAGACCCATCGTATCAAATCATTTAGACCTCGTTAGTATATCAAAAACATTAGAAGTCACAATTTATTTATTTTTAAGATGATGTTTTTAAAATTACTTATTTTAACCTTGAGTGTAGTAGTACAAGTTTTTTCGGATAAAATCACTTTTAAAAACGTAGAAATATCTTTGTACTCCCACAATAGATTCCTAGCAACAAAAAACGTAATTAATAATAACAATTTAGTTGTTGTTTTAAATCAATTTGACAGACCTTATGACGTTGTTAAAATCAAGGGACAGAACATACCGGTGCTGTACAAAAACTCGTTTTCTCATATACATCTTCATGATTTAACAATAGATGATTGTGATTTGGAAAAAATAGAAATAGGAGCTTTTGATAATGTTCAGAAATTGATTTATTTGACGATTACTAATACTAAACTGACTGAATTGGAAAGGGGTGTTTTTTATGGTTTACCGTTATTTTCGCTTAATTTGCAAAGCAATGGTATCAAAAATGTGGAAAATGGTGCTTTCCAGGGTAAGTACTTGTTTTTTTTTTACGTAGGTAATTATCGAGATAACATATTTTATATTTTATAAACCAAACTATGGTTTAACTTCCTGAAACTCACGTAGATTTTAGCTAGTTAAATTAATTTCAGGTATGGACTCGCTCAAAAAAATCAGTTTGGGCGTCAACGATATACGAATCATAAAAAATGGAATATTTACGAACTTATCCACACTAGAAGAGTTGGATTTGAGCGAAAATGAAATAGAAGAAATCGAAAATGATTCTTTCAAAAATATGAAGAACTTATCGGTTTTAACGTTAGAGGATAATAAAATTGAAAAACTTCAAAATGGCATTTTTGGTGAGTATTTCTCGTTTTAAGGTGTTATTGATCTTAAGTACCGGAGTCCTTTCTTGAAGCACTGTTAAAATATATTAGCAAGCTTATTTATGACAGATATAGGACTGTAGTTAGTTATTTGAGAATTTTTATCTGATTTAAAGATAAGATATAAAACTTTCCATTGCTGAGGTACCAGACCAGTTAGAAAACACAGGTTTATAATGTGTATTAACGGTTCTAATATATATATGTATGTATAGTTTTTAGAGTTTTTGTCGTTATTTTATCTGGCAGAATTATTTTTTAATTTTGAAATAATTATCATCAATTCTGTTTTTGTTACGGGTTTAAGGAAGATTGAATGTTTCATTTCATTATCTGACAGAACGTTTTCTGGTAAGTTTGTTTTAGGAATTTTTCTTCTTATATTTTCACCTACATTTACGAAACACTTTAAATTCATTTAATTTTTGTTTCTGATCACTTATAGTTGTAGCGTTTTCCGTAATTATAATTTCCATTTCTACACTTATATCGTTTATTATATTCTAGATTTTTCCATAATTTGATCCTGCCTCATTTATTTGATTTTTATAATATTGGTTTTTTGCATATTTTAATAGAGAGTTAATTTTATTTCTGTATTTTTTATATTCTCCTTCTGCTGCTGAATAAGTTTATTTATAGAGTTAACAAGACCTATAAAAATCTACGGTTTTATTTTAAAATATTTTTTATTTCATGTACGCTTGTTAATGACGTTATATAGTTTAAAAGTTTATCAATAAATGTGTAGCAACATTCCTGGGGGTTGTTTTCTAATAGAACATTCGCCAAATCCTCAATTTATTGTAATCGATTTTTTGAAATTTTTGTTCATTTGTTAATTTAGTTTTTCATTATTTAAAAGAAAATGTATGCCCACAAAAGGAGTAAAATGGTCTGACATGTCGGTTTGAAATATTACAGGTGAAATGGAAATTTTGTTTTTCAGTCATTTTTCTATTGTAATAAAAATGTGGTCAAGCGCAGTTTTGGAATCTTTGGTAACTCGAGTGGTTTTATTTATACAGGGTGTTTCATTGGTAAAGGGACTCCCTTCAACCATGGATGGAGACCACCGAGGTGCTTCCAAATAACCCATACTTAATGGGTCTTTCGACCTTTATAGCCCAGACTTATAACTTATTAGCCACCCTGTATACGTTTTTGGCATTTGGCGTACCCTTTCACCGTAACTTACCAAATCTAAAAAGGTATAAACAAGAAACAAAATCCAGGTCCGTCTTTACAAAAAATTAATAAATTCATCCATCCTTAAAACAACATCCTGTATGTCTGAATTTGAAATTTTTGTTTCCATATTTGAAAAGAGCACAAAAAATTGAATCCAATAATGTACATTTTATTTTTGCGCAGACGATTTTACTACTGAAATTATAAGTCCAAATTGTTATTTTTGAGCATTTTGGAGGAAATGGACGGAGTTTTATTAATTTTATTACGGTATATTTAAAATTATTTAAAGAAGTGTATTTCTAAAAGCTACAGATATGTCAATACTTATAATTGTATGCATCTACACCATTTCAAAAAATAATTTCAGGTCCGGTTTTAGGGCCAAAAATCAGAATTATTTTTTTTTCGACCGCACCCTGTATAAATTATTCCATGTAAGTTTTAATAAATAGTATGTAGGATAATAATATGGAAAGAGACTAACATTCAATAGAACAAATAATAACATTTACAACTAAAGGAAAAACACATAAATAATAACTAATTAATACATAATAAACAAATCAAAATAACAACTAATAATACAAAGAAATACAAATGTTGGAAATGAAGTAATAAACCTTATTGCTACTAAAAACTACAAGAGTTGTTCAAAATGACCTCCATTTTGTTCGATGCATTTTCTTGCTCGTTTTAAAATATGGTTGACGACTTTTCTGAGTACATCGGGATTATTTTTCATTTCTTCGCACGCGTTTTCTATCCTCCCAACTAATTCTTCCCTACTATTTATGGGAGTGGAATATACTTTTGTTTTTAGATGTCCCCAAACGTGGTAATCCAGCGGATAAAAGTCAGGCGATCTTGAAGGCCAGTGATTGGGAGCACCTCTGCCTATCCACGTATTAGGAAAATTTTCATTTAAAAATTCCCTCACAATTAGCCGGTAATGCGGTGAAGCACCATCATGTTGAAAATATACACCAACTATATCTACATCTGCATCGTCTAATAGAACAGGCAACATATTTTGAAGAAAATCTATATAAACTTCGCCAGTCAGTCTGTGAGGGAAAATATGTGGTCCTGATAATTTTTTATATTTTAACTTCTGTTTCTAAATATTTATCATAAAATGTCTGTTCCAACCAATTTATATTTTTTACTCTATTATTCATTAAATTGTTCGTTTTTTGTTACAGATACTCTATCCAAACTGCGTCTTTTGAATTTGGGACTAAACAACATTGGAGAAATAGAAAACTATGTTTTCAACGATTTGGAAAATTTGGAAATTCTTTGGCTGCAAAAAAACAAATTGAAAACGTTGGAAAAAGACGCATTCGTTGGCTTGATCAAGTTGAAACAACTGTATTTATCCTACAACGAAATTGATACTCTGGAGCCCGGATGCTTTGTTGGATTGAATCTGTTAACTGAATTGCATCTTAATAATAATCGGATAAAAATGGTTGTTAAAGGAGTTTTCAACCTTCCAAGTTTAAACGGTAAGATTAATATGTCAATATGACAATTTGAATTAGGAAGGATTTTGATTGAGTTCAAAATATGCATACAAATAGAAACTAACTCTTTGATATCTCAAACTATTTTTGAGTTATTGTATAAAATGTAAAATTTATAATAGCAATAAACGATGATTATTATTAGTTGACAGTAGGTCACTCTGATTAGGAACGTTCTAACATAAAACGTAGTCTGTTATTGAATTACGCACTGTTGGAACAAACCTAGTATCATCAAGTAGCTTCATATATACCATTAGTACTATTAAACATTTTACTAATTTTTAAATATCTTCCAGTTCTTTGGCTGAACGACAACGAAATATCAGTCACAGAAATTGGAGCCTTTGGCGTCTCAGAAATGCGCGAACTGGATTTGGGCAGTAACAACCTTAGACATCTCAAACGACACGCATTTTCCAACCTGTCACTGAAATGGCTGTACCTGCATTTGAACAATCTCGAAACTATTGAAGATTCGACATTCGAAAACTCAAAAATTACGAATATAAATCTGAGAAACAACTCATTGACGAATTTGTCTAAGAACGTGTTTAAAAATGCTGACGTTTCCTTTATTTATATCGGAAATAACGACGCTTTTGATAAAAGTACGTTGAAGAAAGTTTCGAATCCGTCACCATCAGAGATACATTCGGATGAATTGAAATTGGCACAAGGCGGAGTGATGTACTTGAAACATTATAAATTGGCCAAAAATGTTTTTATAGATGTGTAAATAAATTAGTAGACAATTAAATTTATTTTTAATAAAAATTTAATAAAATTCTTTGGGTTTAAATTTTTCTTTTTGCCAATATTTTTGTTCCAGTTTAGTTTTGGAAGAAAATGTTTATAAGTTAAATTAAATATTTTTAAATTCTCTACAATTTATTATGAATAAGTTTTTTATTCATTGAACGGTTTAGATGCTAGATAATTGCAATATTATGGATCCATTTTTCAAATTATGTACTAGTAAACTAAATATTAAGTATGCGTTGGAAAAGAACCAAATATTTACAAAAATATTATGTACATAGTTAAGGAAATACGTAATATATAGGCTGATATCAAATTTGTGACATACCAGTTTATTACTCATATGAAAATATACTGATTTGGGAATTTCTGGAGGACGACGTTTTAAAGTGGAGATGGGAATATCGGGTTGGGTACTTTATGAATGTAATGGTAGTTCAAAGAAATGTTTTCCTTTTTGTAAAATTATTGAGAATTGAATTGTTAAGGGGAAGAAAAAAGTCAGAAGAGTTTGATATTTTATTATTTGTAGTAAATGTAAAGGAAAAATATTAAAGATATAAAAGATAGAAACAAAGACAGGTAGAGGCAGGACAAAGACACTTTATAATTATTATTATGATATTGTATAATTTCTAAATTACAAAGTATTTTCTTACTAAAAAACAGTTAAGGTAATGGGGTAAGAGTTTAGTAAAATTATGCAAGTTTATTTATATGTACTCATAAAAATTCAACAAAATAAAATAATTAAATTTCCTGACATCAGTACGTTACTTGTTGTCTTCCTTAATATACGTTAGTAGCAAAATCATTAAAATGTTAAAACTTTTCATTTTGTGCAATTTTTTTAAAACAAGCTATGTACTACACACTTACCCCTTGAAGTGGAGCAAGTGTGTATTTAGTGTAAGTCTCAAAAGAACGATGTTTAATATGCTATAGACATTTATAAAAAAGGAAAATCGATCTATAACTTACAAACTTTTTATTTAAAAATAATAATGAAACGTAAAAGTTACAATCGCTAAATTAAACTAAAAATCAAATTTAAGTAAGCAAAATTAGAAAAAAATTCATTTTTAACCAATAATTTTAGATGATATTATAGTTTTATTGTATGTTATAAACTGAAAAATTTAGTTCAAACCAATAAAATCACATTCATCTGGATATTTCCACGCAAAAGTTGAAGAGGATAAGGGATCTAAAGAAGGTACTTTTTTGGTAAATTTCATTTCCAATTCTTCTTCATCTTTCTTTACCTTAATAACTTGACCAACATAGTATTATTTAAATTTTTTTCATAATAAAGCCACTAATACCCAGTCATCTGTATCTATATCTATCAAAGGTTTATCCATTTCCGTCATGATGCTTCAAGTTCTTCCATCTCTCTAATATCTTCCTCTATATCGTCATCACTGTCATTAAATATAATATTTTCATTTGAGTTTTCTCAATTTTTCTCTTCTTCAAAGTTTTGACTTTGAATAGTATTGGGTAATTATTCCCCTATGTATTTCTGCCAATGCTCTCTGAAGGGTGGCCTCATCGTAGGTTAAACGTTTGTTAGATTTTTTTTGTAACAACTTACCATGATTTCCTAAAATAACCAAAAACACGTCAATTATTTTATTTAATTGCCATGTGGCAAGTGTGTAGTATACTACACACTTGCCTATACTATTTACTACACACTTGCACACACATGAGATTTCTGTGGGGCAACTTATTTAGTAAATAAAATTTTTAGGTAATATCTAAAAAATACAAAAATATTTGCAAAACTACGAAAAGACTTACTTTTTCAACTTGGTATATCGATTTAATTGATAAAATCACTTTGCTTTTTGAGGACGATGGCATATTAAAAATGATTAACCAAATTGTGTTCAGTGCCCACATTGTCATGTGTTTTCTTTGGATACCACTGCGTGTCTAGGAATTATTTGAGCTCAGATATTCTACATTAAAAACTGACATAACATGTAGTTATACCCCTTGATCACAGATGGGCCACAATAAACCACCGAACAGAAGTTATGATGCCTCTACACACTTACCCTCAGATACACAGTTACCCCACCTTACCTTATTGCGCTTTCACTAAGATCAAGTTGCTTTATAGCTCTATTTACGTTTTAAACTATAAAATAAAACTGTGATATATTTATTCTCTTCATCTTTAATTATTATACCACACAAGATTCAAACATTTCTTCTTCTGACATCCAATTTAATCACCCCTAAACTATCTCCCAAGATAACAAAGTCTATTGTTTTAGTTTTCGCCTGTATTTAGGCCACTACTTCCCATCATTATTTTTAATTTTAATTATTGCGTATGTTAATAATTAAAGAATGTCTAGAAGGAAAGATATTTCGCTTCGGTGTTCTTAGATGTACAACAAGCATTTGACAAAGTTTAGCATGAAGGTTTTGTATGTAAATTAAAAAAAAAATAATATTTCATATCAAGTTTACATCATCCTAAAATCTTATATGAATGCATGCTTCTTCTAAGTAAAGATTAATTCCTTTCTCTCAAAACTATATCCCATCACGTCAGAAGTCATTCAGGATAGTGTTCTTGTACTTTTTCCTTATTTAACTTTTACAGCTGGTATACCAGTTACAGAAGATATTGTAATGGCAACATTTGCTGATGACACAGCCATCTTGACATACGACCTGAACCGAGTTACACTTAGATCAGTTACAAATCTGGTTTTCTTCCCATCAAAAGTATCCATGAGATCAATCTTATCCTATGACTAGATTTTGTGATACAGGGTGTTAAAGTTAAATCCCTAATTCTTTAAAATGAACACCAAAAATCAACCTTAAATATTTTTGGAAGTTATTCGCTCATTCTGTGTAGTAAAAATACATACTTAAATACTATTTTCAAAATATTGTTACTTACAAGGTGATTCATGATTCGCAGATCATTTTCGGTAAAAGTAGGTATTTCTACCGAACAAAAATAGCTGAAATACCTGTGAATATTTGATATTGTATAGTTCTCGATGTATATTTTGGAAATTCTTATGTACTTATGTACCTATATGTACCTAATATTTACGAATTTTAAACAATAAATATATACTGACATAAAGAGAAATTCCAAAAATATTTTGACACACTGTGTTAGATTATGAATATACCCCTTGCAATATTTGGAGGCAGAGAGAAAATTTCGTACTCACAGGGTAATCGCGGTTGAATAGGTAATATGAAAAAATCAACAACAAATGTTGCCAAAGAATAGAAAATAATTGTCTTTTAAGTTGCAACTTGTTCATTAAAATATCTTATAAGTGACGGCTCGTAAGGTGTGGTTCACAGTGACAGAATATAGTGTTTTATATACCTTTCTAAAACACTGATAGTTTTTTACCTATATCTGTACCGGGATCTACATTCTGCTACTGTGAACCCCCAAAATTTTGGTCACAAGTCGCCCCCGCATACAAGGTCAAATATTATTCCATTACAAAAAAGTTCATTTTGCGGTAGGTCTAAGTGGGATCTAGAGTTATTAATCGTGAACGGAGTACATGTTTATTTGGCTTGAATATTGCCATAAATGCCTCTTAAAGGTACGTTTACATCTGACATTTATTGCATGAGATTTATATCTGATAGTTGTTTAGTTCAGTGTAAACACACAAAAATTTCTCTCGGAGATATATGTTTGAGTGTTTACACTGGACTGAACAACTGTCAGACATAAATCTCATACAATAAAGCTGAGATGTAAACGTGCCTCTATATTGTATATTTACATCAATTTGAAAGCTCCTTTCAGTGCCACCATGAGGTAAGGCTCTAATACATTTTATTTTAAGTGGTTTTCCCTGTAGACCTATACCACTGATTGTATAATAGAGTAAGTCAAAAATTACGGAAAAAAATGAATTCTGGCTAGTGTGGAAAAATGATGTCTCAAGTGTTTAAATCTTATATAAAATTAATGAAATATTCAAATATTCAGCTGGGCCTCTGGGGGTGATAAGTAAAAAAATTTAAAAATTTACTTTGACCGAAAATGATCTGCGGAATCATGGATCACCCTGTAAGTTACAATATTTTGATTTAAGTTTGTATTTTTACTACACAAAATGAGCTAATAAATATCTTTCAAAAATATTTAAGAGTGTACGTAAAATTTTTCGGGTACAGCAGTTTCAATGTTATACTGTTTCCCAAATTATGAAAATACTAAAAAATGTTTTTAAACTATTTAAAAAGAAAATCAAAGAATGTCTTAATATCTAGAGAAGAACTTATTTGAAAACATCGTATTCATTTTTTAATGGAAACAGAGAGCACTTGAAAACCGTAAAAATATCATATTTCCATTTCACAAAAATAATAAGTTAGCTTTTTTGTTTTTTATATAAATCATATAATTGTCATATAATTCACAAGAAAAATCATTGAAAACCGATTTTAAAAAGATCTATGTATTAAGCAAAGAAAAAAATAAATAGAGAATTACATTACAAGCAAATTTTATTTCAAGACTTTTTTATCCAAGCGTTAATAACATATATATGATGTAGATAGTTGGTGGTTAATATTAATATTAGGAAAAAAGTTATTCTTCATAAAACCTAAAATACGACCATCAAATTTTTTTGTGGTATATGAGGTTTGTCAAAAATAAAGGTACTTTACTCTTCAGCAAAATTCATATTTTTTGACAAACCTCGTATACGGCTTAAAAAATGATATCTGATGGTTATATTTTGAATTTTGGACTATGCAGAACTTTTTATCAATTATAATTTTTTTCACGAAACCAATAATTAAAAAGTTTTCCATATGATTCCAACTTAAATAAACACACTTTATATTGTATTATTATTGGATTAAGTTCTATTGGGTAATAAAAATAATAGACTTTTATTATAAGATAAATATCAAGTTTACATAAAAAAATGTTTATAACTTGATCTTCATAGTTTCTTAATATTTAAAAAAAAATGTTTTTAAAATTTCATCATATTGTGAAATGCCGAAAATTTCTATATATTTTTTATATTCCAAATTTATATAAAAACTTAATGATTTCCAATAATTGTAATCTCATTAATTTTGTGTTTATTACTTGTAATTCATTGAGATAAGTTTATTTATTACTAATATTATCAATATTATTTATTTGAACTTAAAACTGTATTCTCAATCACTTCATGTAAATATGTGTTGATTAAATAATATACTGCATGTCCTAACTAAAGTTCAGAAATCTACAAAATTGAATTAAATTTAGGATATTTCGACTTTTTCTAAATAAATACAAATAATTCGAGAGACGCTAAAATAGTGGTTCCCACCTTATCGAGACTGAGACCCACAAGAGTAAACTCATAGCGTAAAAAAAACGAGAAATGATTTAACTTGGAACGAAAGACCGAAAGCCAATAGTAAGTATTAAGACGCTAAATTTTTTGGTTTGTGAAGCATTTGATTAGGGTTTACAAACTTGTTCGAGAAATTTATCCAATAATAATTGGCCCCTTTACCTTATAATCCTGCTCATATAAAATATTTGGGTTCCTTACTTTGCTATTTATATAATATTGATAAAGATTAGAAGGATGAGTATTACAACTATGTCAAAAGGTATAAATTGGCTTTCAGTTCAGAATTATGTTCAGTACATGACTGATATTTATTTATAAAATTAAAAATGACAGTACCATAAGAGTTTAGAAATTGAAATATCAATTGAAAATACTAAAATAGCGGTCACGACTATATACATACAGGTTACCCAGTACCTCTCTGCATATCTTTAATGCAGACCTCCTTAATTATTTAAAAGTGATATGAATCTCTTAGATAATGTTGACTATATTGAAGAGTACAAAAATATATTATACTACCATGGTTTCATATCATATATCAATGAGTATACAAGATTACCTACTCGAACATATAGGCATTAAATCTTTTATTTTTAGGCACTATATTACTGATCATAGTCCTATAGGGTTAATATTTAAAATAGAAAATTGTTAACTTAAAGAATGTTATGAGAATATTATGAAATATGTAAACTATAGAAAACTAAAATTAGATTTGTCAGAAGAAACTTGGCATGAATTTTATCATGGAGAAATAAACGCAGATAATATGCGTTCAAAATTAAATAATTCTTAGAAATAAATCTAGTCCATTTTCAAATTTATATATTTTTTATTTTATTATCAATAACTCGTTAAATTAGACGGGACATCCAGTACAATCATTGCTCTTACGATTCTGATGCGACACACCACAACATGGATGAACCTGATAATCAGCGGATCCTTAAGGTCACAGTCATGTTGATATGGAACAAATCAAATTTAACAACTACAAGAGCACATTTCCAATGATTTTTTAACAATATTTCAAGATGTACCTGTCCAAATTCTTCATATCCAATTGCGCAATCTTCATCTTGTGTGTACTAGTGAGTGTTGTTACCTGTCAAAATGAACGTACATTCAAAAACGTTGTTATAAAAGTGACTTCCAAGAAAACACCGCAAAAAGCGAATAAATTGCTGATAAATTCTAACAATTTGCTTCAAGTTCTGGCTACCTATAACACAGACATCTATGATACGATCAAAATAGAAAACGCTAATATACCAGTAATCCATAGAGGTGCTTTTAAAGATGTCAATCTTTCTCAACTCATAATATCGGATACGAATCTGCTAGAGCTCAAAGCTGGGGCATTTGAAGGCCTTCAGAAAGTCGAAGCTTTAGTCATAAGCGAAAATCAGCTTCAAATTATCAAAAAAGACGTCTTCACGAATTTAACCATTCACAAACTCTACCTGGACAGCAACAATATTGTATTAGTCGAATCGGGTTCTTTTGATGGCATGCAGCATTTAACGACGGTGGTGTTAAGCATTAATGCAATAAAGGTGGTTAAAAAAGGAACTTTTAAGGATTTAAACGAATTGTTGTCTGTAAGGATGGATTTCAATAAAATCGAAACCATCGAAGAAGGGGCTTTCCAGAATCTTCCTAAGTTGCACAGGATCGATTTGGACAATAATATGATCAAAAGAGTTGAAGCTGAGTCTTTTGGTAAGTTTTTTTTTAAATACAAAGATTACTAAAGGTTTGATAATTGAACAAGGATATTGTTTATCAGTGTCAAAGAGGGATACGTATCTCTTCCCTACATCCTTTCTGCATTAGCCTTTAAAATATTAAAAAAAAATTAATATACAATAAAATTAGATCGACAAACTCCAAAGAAGTTTCCGCTGGAATTTTAAGCATTCCCCAAAACAAATTTATTTATTTTCCCGAGAATTTTCCTTACTATATTTCTCCATTTCTTCTCTAAACTCTTGTCATGACCTTTTTTGCTGTTTTTATTAGTACTTTAATTTTAAATCATTGTTTTTATACTATACAGCCATTGTATATATTTCTATTTTCGTAATATTTAATTAACTTTTCGTTACCTACAGACGGCAGTTGAAAATGGACCTATTCAAGTCTCTAAGCCGTTACATATCTAACAAACCAACCTGTGTTCAATCAATACAGTTTAATATAGTATTTTTCAGAATTATTTTCTCTAATTTCGCTACTTATTTTTAAAACCGAAGGTCAGGTCATAGCATTGAGTGATATAAATATTGATATCAATTTATATTCAAATGCCAATATGTCTATATTTTTTTTGTTGAAACAGAAATAGGTAGGTATATAGTTGACACTAAAATATTAAAAAATGTAAATAAGGATGAAGCTTTTCAAAAACAAATACCTATAATTTTAAAAGCAACAAATAATATTCGAGGATACTACATTTGTTTTTGTACATAACTTTTTATTAAAAACTGTATTAAGTTTTGTAAAGACTGACTTTATTACAGGAATAATATTTTCTGAGAACATACGATCTTGGATAAAGTATTTATTCAATCTAAATAGTATACTCCCTAGTACATTAACCTTTACATTTTGTACACGTCAAACTTCTTCAGAAGCTTCATAATACCAAGTCTGATTTGTTCTTCTGTAACTTTTTAATGCCGTTGTCTGTAGCTTTACGCAATACTTGGGGATACGTGTGTGGCCCACCCGGAACTCAAAGACATAAAGTTACACGTTTTTTATACATGGACGACTTAAAGATTTATACATCCAACGAGGAGGAACTAAAACAAACCCTACGTGTGGTACAGGACTGCACTTATGCTATTGGCATTCGTATTGAACAAATGTGCACAGATCCAGTTCAACAGAAGCCGATGCAAGAATTTTGGAAAGTAAGTACAATTTGTGAATGGAAACGTTTCACGACATTTGAACGTCGGAAAGTCAAAGTCAAATGCATGAGGTTGTTCTCATTAAAGAGACTCTACGCAGCAAGTAGCAGACCTTCATTCCGCAGATTTGGTCATCAAAACTGTCTGCAAAAAACAAAGTGGATGCTACAAATATGCTTGCTGTTCCGATCGCCCTTTACTCATTTTGAGTAATAAAATGGGGACACAAGAAGAGCTGCTACAGCTCGACATCAAAACCCGCAAGATGATGCATCTCCATAGGAGTTTGTCTCCAAATTTATCTATACAAAGAATATACCTTTCAGGCGACCAGGGAGACAAAATAACACTAAGTATGTGACCACCAAAGTGTTGGAAAAGTAGCCATAATATTCAAGATAGGAAGAAGAGCAGCTAAAGGTCCTGACCTCGTCTTCGGTGCATTGCAAAGAAATATAGCATCCATCACCGAGAGGCCTTCAGTAGATTAGATTAGATTTAATTAGGACTGTGGGCCACGTGGCCTCCCCCACCTCGACCTTTTCAGATCTATTGTGGATATCCTTGAATCGTTATTTAGAGTAACTTGTCTAATTCGGTTTTTTGTAGACTCCATAGACTGGGAAGTAGTTCTCCAGTATAGCTAGTTGCCCTTGGTTTTTCTTCTCCAAGTGTAAGGAATCTCAGTCTTGCTAGACCTTCGCAGTAGCACAATACGTGTACTGCGATTTCCTCCTCTTCCTGACAGAATCGGCACAAGGACCTACTAGTACTCTAGTATTTTTCCTATTTAGGCTTAGTAGATGCTCGGTGAGTTTAGGCAATGGTTCTTTTATGAACTCTTTGGCCTGTCTCTGTCCTGGGGAGTTTTTCTACAACTCCTGAGATTTTTTAAACATCCACTGCTTTGTGCATGTTCTGATAGTTGTTTTTGTTAGACCACAGAAGGGTTCTGGGCCAATAAAAGCCTTTGAGTCTTCTTGTCTGGCTAGTAAATTAGTCTCTTCATTGCCCTTAGGTCCTCTGTGGCTAAGGTTAGTCTATTTTGACTACCCAGCTCTGTTAGGGCTTCCAAACAGTCCCACACAAGCTTTGACTGTACCTACATGGAACTTAGTGCCTTTAACGTCGCTTGACTGTTTGAGTATATGACAATGGTTTTTCCATTTACCTTCTGTCTTAATACCTCTTTTGCGCAGTGATTTATTGCTGCTATTTCTGCCTGGAATACTGTCGCATGTTTACCTAAGCTCAGTGAGATTCTTGTCTTTGGCTTGGTACTATACATATATATCTACTCCTGAACCTTCATGGATTTTGGAGCAGTCTGTATACCAGGTGAATTCTGCACGAATAGGAGGTCCTCTTGTCTATGCTTCCCTGTCTGGTATACTTACTTTAAATTGCTTTTGAAAGCTATACTTTGGGAGCATTTCATCTGAATGCATTCTCATTATTTAGTCGTTCTCCAACTCTTTATATAGCTCGCTGTAGTCACGTCCATACAAACTGCTTTTGGGTGATGAACATTTGTGCAGTCTGTATGTGACAGACCTGGCTTCGCCTTGAATGAATTTGTAGTAGTGTTAGGTTAAGCATGACTTCTATAGCTGTTGATGGAGTCGTTTTCATAGCTCCCGTGCCTTTGAATACCATTGAGCTGTCGAATAGCTCTAGCTTGCCGAGCCTTTGGCCACCATACCACCGACCCGTAGGTTATCATCGGCCTTATGACTCTGGTATATAACCATATGGACATTTTCGGTTGTAGCCCCCAATTTTTTCCACACAACCTTCGACATAAATTAAAGGATGTTGTGTTCTTTTGGGTGACTTTTTGCAAGTGCTGATTCCATGTTAACCTGTGGTCAAAGATGACTCCCAAGTATTTGGCCTCTTGAGCAAATGGAATCTTCACTACTTTCAGTACTGGTGACTTTAGTCCTGTTGGTACTTTTCGTTTTGTAAAGTTGACTATTGGTTTTGTGAGGGTTAACTGTTAGTTCCTCCTCTCTGCACCACTCGTCAACAATGTTTAGAGCGGTTTGTGTGCGCTCCGATATTGTACCTGCGAACTTGCCTCTTACGACGATCGCCAGGTCATCGGCATACCCTAGGCAGTAGAAATTTGCAGATATTAGCCTTTTTATGAGTTCGTCCACTAGGACTGACCAGAGGAGGAGTGATAGTACTCCTACCCCTAGTGATAGAGGCCTCCAGTAATTTTAAAAGCCAACATTAAAGTTGTATAACAGGTTATTCTAAAGCGACAACATATGGATAAGCCTATGCATAGCATTTTCTTCAAAAACATCAAAGATCTAGGCTTATCCAAACGACTGACTTTTGCATTTTTAAGGTCAAGTGGCCTCAAATCAGAAACAGAGACTTATACTGCCTGTAAAGATGGGGTTCACAACACTCTATCGAAGAAACGCACTGGGTTTAGATACGCCTGATCATGGGCGCCGCCAGGGAGGGAGGCAAGAATACAAAATTGTGAATTCTTTAAAACAAATTACGATACAGAATTAATGAGCTTAGGCGTGGTTGTCAAATGCTGCCGACTAAAATTTAGTTATGAAGATTTCAAGATATTGTCTTTTAATTATTTTTTTCTTTTAATTATAAATAAATGCTTTTGATGGCTTGCCTGCGTCGGTTAAAGTATGTATTACTTATAACGATTAAACGAATTGCTTTAATTTTTTTTCTAAATTTTATTTTGTTATAGATATAATAAAATAAAGACAATATGATATTAAATTATCAAATTTTCGCTCTATTGATTAATAAAATGATTTTTACTCATATACCGATTTTTCGGAATACCAGCGGTATTTTAAGCAATTATTTTTTTGTATCCAAGGAGTTTATTTACCGGGACATATTTTTATTCAATGGATTTTTTTACTGGGATTTTTGTTTCCGGGATTTTGTCGCCGGGATTTTAGTTTCCGGGGATTTTGTCACCGGAGATTTTATCGCGCCGTGCATTTTGTCACGGGGATTTTGTCGGCGGAAGTTTTGTTGCCGGGGATTCTGCGCAGGGGATTATGTCAATAACCCTACGGGCACAATGGTACGGGTATATACTGTTGCGGACCGGTCTATCTACGAATATCTGAACTAAAATGTGGGTAAAGGTTTTACCGCGTATATTTTTTGAAATTTCAGCTTGGATTTTAGTTCTTGATTTTCTTTGTCGATTTGAGGATTTATTTTAACGTAATTTTATTTGAATATTAATAGAGTATTTGCTTGACTCCTTGAAAAAAACTATATTACATTTTTTATAATTGTTCAAACTTTTATTTTTAATATTGTCAAAGTTACATTATTTATATTGGAGTCAACAACTGCTCTAATTTATTTAAAGAATGTCTACCAAATTTTCTCTTTACGTTTTATTATTTTTAAATTCATTTGGAACTAAAATTAAATGCAGAAACCCTCACCTTAAATTTCTTACTGACGTATCCTTTTCGATATTAAATAAATTATCGTTTCAGTACAACTTCCTCTACTGGTGGTCCTACTACTTGAAACCAACTCTTTGGAATACGTATCTCTGGAAAACCTAGACAGCCTGAGGGTGCTATGGATACACGATAATAAATTGAAATCTCTGGATATGGGAATGTTGGACAGACTGAAAAGTATTAGTAAATTAAACGCGACTGACAACGAAATTTCCACCTTAGAAGGTATTGCCCAACGCGGTCTCAATATGGTTTATTTGGATTTAAGTTTTAATAAGATTGTTGATGTACCCCATGGAGTGTTTAATGGATCTAAAATAGAAAGTAAGTATGCAGGGTGTTTTTAAAGTTCACATTTTCTTTTTAACAATAAATAAAAAAAAAAACAATATAGAAGACTACACAAAAAAACTAAAATGATGATAGTTTCCGTTTTTTTGTAAAATTTCCTTCTTGGCATACAATTGGTATTAGAAATACTGGGAGGATTTAAAATATTCATTGTTTTCAATAATTATAGACAATTAAAAGAAAGATGACTTTAACAGGTATTCAATAGTGTGTGTCAGCTCAAATCGTGATCAAACATACTCCACAAAGTTCAATAAATATTGAGGCTCATTTGATTCTTTGGCATAAAATAATATTCTCCGTTTCCTCATTATTTTTTTTTTAAGAGCATTTGATTAAAACTATCGATTTGCATTATCAAATACAATTCCGCTTTTATCATTCAAAGATAGTAAACAATCACAAAAATTTATTAAAGTGGTATGTCTGCAAATAATGTTACAATTTCAGCTCAAATGTTTGCTGGTAGATCATTAGAAAAAAATTGGACTAATATTCAGTCCTTGAACAACAGCAGCATTAATTGAATGTGTACTTTTTTATATTACCTAAGTAAGAGCCTAAAAAGTTTATTTAAAGTTTTTCCACAAATTCCATAAAATGACTTCGTCAGATTTGTATGAAAAATCTTTGACAGATCTAAGAAAGATAATCTAAAGGAGGTGATTTAAGAAGGATGATCTAAGGAAGATGACCTAAGAGAGATGATCTAAGAAAGATGATCTAAGAAAGATGATCTAAGAAAGATGATCTAAGAAAGATGATCTAAGAAAGATGATCTAAGAAAGATGATCTAAGAAAGATAATCTAAAAAAGATGATCTAAGAAAGATGATCTAGGAAAGATGATCTAAGAAAGATAATATAATAAAGATGATCTACGAAAGATGATCTAAGAAAGATGATCTAAGAAAGATGATCTAAGGAAGATGACCTAAAAAAGATGATCTAAGAAAGATGATCTAAGAAAGATGATCTAAAAAAGATGATCTAAGAAAGATGATCTAAGAAAGATGATCTAAAAAAGCTGATTTAAGAAAATCTGAGAAAGAGATTCAAGAAAGATGATCTAAGAAAAATGATTTAATAAAAATGAACTAAGAAAGATGATCTAAGAAAGATAATATGAGAAAGATGCTCTAGGAAAGATGATCTAAGAAAGATGATTTAAGAGGTATGATCTAAAAGAGACGATTTAGGAAACATGATCTAAAAGAGATGATTTGGGACAGATGATCTAAGAAAGATCTAAGGAAAATCTAAACGAGATATTTTTGCTAAATACCCTTTGACCAATTTAATTTATTTTGAAGAGATCTCATATTGATCACTTTTGTGTACCATGAACCGAATATTCCTTTTTTAGATCGTTAAATTGATCTTTAACATAAAACTTTACCAGAAAGTCCTTTAAAGATAATCTATTAAAGATGATCCAAGAAAGATGATCTAAGAAAGATATTTCAAAAAAAGATTATCTAAATAGATGATATAATAAAGATAATCTAAGGAAGGTGATCTAAGAAAGATGATCTAAGGAAGCTAATCTAAAAAAGGTGATTTAAGAAAATCTATAAGAGAAGTGATTTAAAAAAGATAATTTAAAAAAGATGATTTATAAAAGATAATCTAATAAAGAACATATAAGAAAGATGATCTAATAAAGATCATATAAGAAAGATGATTTAAGAAAGGTGATCTAAAAAAGATGATTTAAGAAATATGATCCAAGAAAGATGATCTAAGAAAGAAGATCTAAGACAGATGATCTAAGAAAGATGATCTATGAAAGATGATCTAAGAAAGATAATCTAAGATAGATGATCTAAGATAGATGATCTAAGATAGATGATCTAAGATAGATGATCTAAGATAGATGATCTAGGAAAGATGATCTAGGAAAGATGATCTAGGAAAGATGATCTAAGAAAAATGATCTAAGAAAGAAGATCTGAAAAAAGTGATATAAGAAAATCTAAGAAATGTGATTTAAAAAAGATAATTAAAAAGAGATGATCTAAAAAAGATAAACTAAGAAAGATGATCTAAGAAAGACGGTTATCTAAGAAAGATAATCTAAAACAGATTATCTAAGAAACATGATCTAAGAAAGATGATTTAAGACAAATGATCGAGGAAGGATGATCTATGAAAGACGATTCAAGAAAAATGATCTAATAAAGATGATCTAAGAAAAATTAACTAAAAAAGGTGATTTAAGAAAGATACTCTAAGAAAAATAATTTAAGAAAGATGATCAAAAAGAGTTGATTTGAGAAAGATGATTTAAGACAGATCTAAGAAAAATCTAAACAAGATATTTTTGCTAAGTACCCTTTGACCAATTTAATTTGTTTTGAAGAGAACTCATATAATAAAGATAATCTAAGGAAGATGATGTAAGAAAGATGATTCAAGAAAGATGATCTAAGAAAGATGATCTAAGAAAGATGATCTAAGAAAGATGATCTAAGAAAGATGATCTAAGAAAGATGATCTAAGAAAGATGATCTAAGATAGACGATCTAAGACAGATGATCTAGGAAAGATGATCTAAGAAAGAAGATCTGAAAAAAGTGATATAAGAAAATCTAAGAAATGTGATTTAAAAAAGATAATTAAAAAGAGATGATCTAAAAAAGATGATCTAATAAAGATCATATAAGAAAGATGATTTAAGAAAGATGATCTAGGAAAGATCTAAGAAAAATCTAAACAAGATATTTTTGCTAAGTACTCTTTGTCCAATTTAATTCATTTTGAAGAGATCTCATAATAATCACTTTTGTGTACCATATTCCTTTTTAGACCGTAAAATTATTCTTTAACAAAAAACTTTTCCAGAAAGTCCTTTAAGCTGTTTGTTTTTTTTTTTTATTTCAGATCTGAAACTAAACAACAACAAAATTGAAACCATATCGCCAACGGCTCTAAGATCCTCCCAAATCCAAAACCTGTACCTTCAAGAAAACCAAATAACCAAAATCCTGCGAGGAACATTCTCCGACATGGACACCGTCCATCTTGATTTAAATGACAACAAGATCGTCCAAATTGAAGCAGAATCCTTCGCAAATTCCACGTTTCAGGAAATCTATTTGGACAGGAATAAACTGACGTCTGTCGGTAAAGGCGTATTCGATAATGTCAAAGTTTCGTTCGTGTCGATTTTGAAAAATGACGGAGTAAACGAGAGGGCGTTTAATAATGTCTCCAATCTTTTCCATTCCAATGGAAATAGAGTTGATCAATCAGGGAGAAAAGATGCTGTGATTTTAGATATAAAGTAACTTTATATTGTTTATAGGTTAGTTTTTAATTGTTGTGTAAGACATTTTTATTTATAAAAAATGTAATTGTTGAAATTGTTTGCTATTGATTTAAAACCTGTAACTTCAGGGCCATCTAGCACCCAAACTGAGCATCTACTGAAATAAGCTTAATTGGGCATGTTCAAAAATTTAAATTTTTTTATGAATAATAGAGTTGAAAATAAAGCTAAATTTTTTTTTATCTATTCATTTGCCAGAGATGAATTTTTTAAAATTTATGGCGTCACCGGGAATAGACCAATAGGAGCTAGCGTTGCCGGTTGGAAGGTTTACGAGAAGTGATGTACGTTCGTTTCTGTACTCCTTCTTACTTTTAAACTTCTAAAACATCGTTAAACAAATATCTTTTAAATATATAATATCAAATGTTTTTTGAAAGTATTATTTCTGTTTAAACGTTTACCATATTTAAAGTTTCATTGTTTTAAAAGTCACTTAAAAATTCAGAAAATGGCAAAACGGCAGCACTGTATGTGTCATCTGTCATATAGTGTCTCGATCAAGAATTTATTTCGAATTTGAGTGTTTAATTTTGTACTTTTTATAAATATTATGACTACGAAAAGGTGTTTTGTTCCAGAATGTGATAATGATTCACATTCCTCTTCAAAAATATTTATTAGTGTTCCTAGAAATTTGGAAAGAAGAAAATCAACCTTCTACTAGCGATGTTTCTCGTCAACTTTTTAATAAAAATACACCGGATATTCAAGATGTAGCAGCAATTTCTGATAATTGTCCCCTTCAGGAAATTGAAAATGAGGCTACTATAAATTCTTAGGTGTATAACCTAAAAACACTTCTGGAAGAAAATCCAGAATCTCCTGAAAGTTTTGAAGGTAGCGAATTTATTCATCATTTTCTGGAAGAATTAGTGATAAAGAAATAATAGAAAAATGTGGGTATTTAAACAAACTGGTTCCTGGATCCCATATAATGGCAGATAGGGGGTTTAAGAATATTCAGCCATTATTTGAAAACATGGGATGCACTTTAGTAAGGCAACACCTTATAAGAAGGGTTAGGGAATTTAACATGTTAAGAACACATTCCTGTGTGAATTTTAAGCAAGTACATTTACTTAGTAATATCTGTTACCCTTACTAACTCCTTCTTTTCTTTTGATTCAGGAGTTTTAAATAAAATTTTCTTTTCTTTTTACCTTTTGTATTATTCTTTATTATAATCTTCCAATCATTAACAATACTTCATTACTCTAATATATTATTAATTTTCCCCTTTGACATTTCTTAAAAAATTCATGACAATCTTCTAAATCTTATGACAATCTATCATCTTAAAATCAAAACAACAACATCCTTGATAATTTCACAATAAAATTGTTTTAGACTCTAAATCGTCCAGCTTTGCTTACTTCAATTTTGACATAATCCTAAATTTCCCTTATCAAATCCCCCAAATTTAGTGTTTACATATTATTACTTTTAAATATAATATTAAACACAAAATTTCCAAATAATTATCTTTAAATTATCCAAATAACCAATAAATATCCAATTTTAAATATATTAAGTTTAAATTTTCAAACCTTTTATTAATTTAAATTGTTGATTTTTCTATTTTTCAAACATTCGAATTTATACTATTACTATTGTAACTGTACATACAAATAACACAATACAACACTCAAACATATCAACACTAACAAAATAGAAAACATTTAACATTTAACACACATATCTATATAAATCTTGTATATGAAAAATTCGTCTTATTCCTTTATTATTCATATATTTTAATATATAACTATTTTCCCATTTCTATTAATTTTTCATTTATAATCGACGCTTCAGACCCTGTATCTACCAAATTTTTATATTCTTATCGCCCATTTTTCCCTTTAAATAAACTAACCCCCATTCTCCCATTTCCTGATCTATATGTTCCCCCAAATTTACAAATTCCCTTTCTCATTGTCTCATTATAAATGCATCGTGTTACATATTTGTTGACATATAGAAATTTAAAGTGACGTCTTGTATTACTTCGAATGAAAAATCGATAATGCAAGTTTTCTAACCTAAAAAAAATTGTGACTATATGTCAAACAAGATTGAGTTGGGCCTTAAATAATGAAATGTCAATTATGTCATTGAACGGCACATATTATCGTTCTGTGAGTTTGTGCTAGGTAATATTTAACTCATATAGATTATTATAATTAAATTCTGAAAGTTTATTTTATGTTATTTTGACATACTGGATTGAGATTATGATTTTTATTCTGAGTGACAGATCACATTCGAGATGTTACTACATTCGTTCTCTGACTTGACAGGACTCTGCTCATGCCCTGCCCATTCCATAGGGCATCTCGAACTTGACCTTAGAAGAAAAGGTGTCTTCTGAAATATCCTGTATGGAAATTAAAACCGCCTCCTACATCTCTTTTATAAGAAATAAAATTTCTTCTGTTGAGAAGAAAATAAAAGATATGGAAAAGAAGATAAAAGAAATATAGAAAACATTGTAAACAGAAACGTAACGAGATATGACTCTGTTGATTCATGTCATCAATCATTGCATGTTTACAACTTTGATTAATTACTAACTCGACTCACAAATCATAGTAAACGTAAGAATGCAAGCTTGTATTCACGTGACATAGAGTTGCGCGCGGTTCTCTATACCGCTACCATAACTTAATTTTTGAAAATAACTTGTTTTTGTAGTTTTTCTCATCTCATTCTTCTATTTAATTATTAAATACCTTGTTTTCTCTATTTTTTTTTTGGTATATTAATAATTTCTTTGTAGATAACGTACCAAACCTAAAAACATTACAACTGGCTCACAACCAAATAGAGTCCCTCCAAAACGACAGTTTTAAATCGTTAAAAGCTTTAGAAACATTGGATTTAACAGATAATAAAATTAGGCAAATCGATCGATTAACTTTTAGTGGTTTGAATAATTTAAAAGAATTGCGTTTGAGTCTCAACGAAATTAGATTTATAGCACCGGGTTTTTTGGAAACGATGCCAAATTTGGAACAACTGGTGTTGATGTATAACAAGCTGCGTGGTATTGAAAAAGGGACATTTATTCATTCTAAATTACAGAGTAAGTATGATTAACAGTATGAGGTAAAATTTAGGCATTTTTTTAACACTTTGGTTTTATAAATGCAAAATTTATTTTTATTCTACAACAATTTTTAATAAAAACAAAACTCTGACATTAAAAAAATATATTCGTTAAATTTTGTATTTTAAAACAGTGCAATTTGAAATCTTGCATTTTTTTCTATTAATTTGACAAACTGTAAAATATTTTTATGGTTTTGATACCACCCGGTATACTTATTAAAAAATAAAGCCTCACCTTTTGAAACGAAATCATTTTTGAATGTAGGTATCGAATTGGACCATAACAAAATATCAGAAATCGAAAGTGGATCCTTTGTCAATCTAACAGCATTAAAATTTTTGAGCTTTATCGACAATAACATTACGCATTTCAAAGATGGCGTACTAATTAATGCTCCAAACCTGACGAAAGTAAGTTTAGAAGCCAATCCAATTTTATGGAGATGGGAGCAGTTCTATTATTTCGCCTTCATTTTTCCAGAATTGATACCGCGGAAAACAAAAAAATTACTTTAATATTTGCATATATTTTAATAACTATACTATATCCTCATTATTACTACACTAATCTAGGATTAAACGATGTTTTTTTAACCAAATACAAAAACAAGCACAATATAAAACTCTAAACCAATTAGTCTCTCAAGTTATCCCATTAAACAAAAATAAACGAGTGTAAAGAAGAGTAAACAGACGCCCCAATCTTTTTGAAGCGATTAATTTAACTTAATACACCACCTGATCCGTTCGAAGCGTGCGTACCGCGTGTGTGTCTGTCTCTGATCTAACCCAGATTCGAGAAACGTCACTTAATCAGTGTCAAATTCGAGACAAACAAAATCCCGGTAAATCAACCCCAACCGAACTCCAGCGGCGTAGATTCCCGTAGAATTGGCAACTGAATACTAATACCTTCGGGTACTTCAATTGCGATGATGTTATTCCACTTAAAAAATCAAGTAAGATTTTACCTTTAACATTTCTTATAAAATAAGTAGAAATTCCTATTTAAAAACAAAAACATTTATCCAGTTATATGTATAGAATTAGCATACTAAATATTATTTTATCTTTAGTAGTAAGCACTTTAAAATATATAAATAATATTCCGTAACTTCATACGTTAGAGTTGTATTTCAGGAATTAAAGAGTTTTTTTTAAAACGATTTTTGTCTCAAAAAACCATAATTATTTATCTGAAACATTTTTTTATATAACGCTTTGTTATCACAATATTTGTAAACATAAATGCCTCGCCCGGTATCTCAGTCTTCTATTATTTCTATCCTATCTTAAAACCTTATTATTGCAGCAATCCCTTCTCAGGTTGCTCAATGTCGGATGGCTTTTTATTTTAATAAAAAAATAATATTTTTTATTATTTATTAAGAACAGCTATTACTACAATATAACAGTTTTTTACAATATGACATGACAAGTGACAATAATACCACAATTGCCAAACTATAAAACAAATAAAAGTAAACAGAATGACAAATAGTTAGGCAACACAATAAACATTTAAGCAAATATTGTTATAATAAGCAAACATCTCTCATTATCTTTAACGACTCTTTTGTTGACATTGTTAAAATGTTTTGAATATTTTTTTCTTACTATCTGCTTATCCCTATTAAATTACGCCACTGATCGCACCTTCACCAGGGTCTTGCTACGGATTGTTTGCAAAACAACCGGGTCCTCGTCCGAGATGAAATTAGCTATCTCAGCCATTCCAGACTTGAAATTAACTTATTTGCATTTTCTATCCATTTTAGTTATGAGCTGGTGTCAAAAACTTGAATGGGACGATCCAGAATTTGGCACTGAATGTGCTTACACATTTTCTCTCCGTTTTAATAGGTTTATAAGGAGAACAGATCAATTAATGGAAGTGGATTGCAGATGAGATGTTTGAAAGTTTGTTGTGATTAACATAAAAACGAGGAGAAGTTTGTTTGTTTTTTTTTTGAAACTATTTGGGATATGCGATATGCCAAAGCAAAATCTACTACTCAGGTCAACTACTACGAAATATATTCACGTAT